GATCTGAAAAAAAAATAGTGGATGGTTGTTTTCTGACTGGTCGGCAGGCCGCCGACCGGTCGGCCCTACTGGTCGGCTGCAATACGGTCGGCGGTCGGGGTCGGCGGTCGGCAGGGATGCAACCATGCTCTTGAGCACAAATATTGCCAAGAATTTGTCATCTACGTTGCCTGCAATTCTGAAAATGCCCTTCCATTTGACGGCAAATGAGTCAATGTGCCCTTGCGACATCACAGCATATGCTTCCAATTGTCCTGTAAAAAGGCTGTAATGCAATTCACCAGCCTTCCAAGTCCTTGACAGATCCCTTTTTTTTAATTTGAAAAGGGCCATCATCCTGCCTCCATTCAGGATTCGAGCACATATCTGTTTATCTACTTCATCAACAGCAACATCTGTGTAGTATGTGTACCGTTCAGCCACATGGAGTGGTTACCTCTCATGTTCCTTTTTTCTTTTTTCCCTTTTTCTCTTGGGGTAGTCGCCCTCTCTCCATCAGGATTTGATCACATGGGCTGGGCACCTGACCATTATTGCATCGCCCTCACCTCCAGAATCTCCAGCAACTAATGCCGACTGTCGAACGATCTATAAAAAAAACTCTCCGAGTTAAAATGAAGCGTTCAACGAATCTAACGAAATGCCAACTTTTTCATTAATGATCCAAACATGTAAAAAACTGGACAGATGATGTACCCCAAAGCACCTACATGTCACACAAAAAGAAAAACAAGAAAAAAAGAAAAAAATCAGGGCATTATGAGTCTTATAACAGTTTCAGTGCACAATTCGGCAAAAAAAAAAAGACCACCTCCGGTTAACCACGTGTATCAGCCAGCTTCACTGTCAGCCTGACATTCTCGTACCGATCTCTTGTCTTGTCACCCATGCGAACTCACATTGAAGTTTGAAGTTTGAACCCATTGCCCATGCGGCTGAATGGTATAAAGTACTATAAACAAATATTAATTTAATAATTTATTAAACATATTAACCATATTAAACCATATTAAACCATATTCAACATATTACTATGATATATTATTATGATATTATTTTATTAAACAATGATGTAACTTCATTAAAGTTCATTGGACTTCATAAACACACCCATCACTGATTATTAGTTTGAACCTTTGAACCCTCCTGAAATCCCCACCACCCCAACCAACCCTTTCTTCAGCCTTTTCCTTTTTCAACATTCTTCTTTGGTCCACTCTAACCACAGGATTAGCAGCACACAACCAACAAACTGATTGCTTTCCAGTGTTTCCAGATAACTCGCGTGTTTTTTATCGGCAAGGAGTGCAGAAACAATGTGGGCAATGTGGGATCGCAGGGAGAGATATATGCACCAAACACTGCCTACCTTTGCCTCCCATAAGAAAGAAACCTGCAGTCTGGTCTGGTGCAAGATGGGATTTGACAAGAAGAACAAAGTGTAAAGGCGCAACGAGGCAAGTATACGAGCACTGGAGAAACATCCTTAGCTCGCTCACAAGGAGAAGAGCAATCCATCAGTTGCAAGCCGCACCGGGTGTGAAGAGATTTGGGCAGTAAAGAGAGACAAAAAAGCAGGAGAAGAGGACAAAGAGCTGTAGGTACACCCACCTCCCAGACCCCACACTGTTCCGGCCGGGCTCGGATATACGTAGTCCAAAACAGCCACCTATCATTATTCACCAACCACCGCATATTGTGTATCAGGTTGTCAATGGTAAACAGGTTTATCTAATTGTTATGATCCTGGCCAATTTTGAAGTACGCATTCATCAGAAAGTACAATGCCGTCCAATTGCAAAAGGAAATGAATGAACTTGAGAGGAGAGAGAGGGAAAGAAGAAGAAGAAGAAGAAGAAGAAGAAGAAGAAGAAGAAGAAGAAGAAGAAGAAGAAGTAGATGAAGAAGATGAAAGAAAGAAGAAGAAGGTGTACACCAGCAAAGACCAATGAGAATTCCCTTCTTCTTCACCAACCACTCTCCTCCTCTTTTTCTCCTCCCCTCTTATTCAGACAAGAAATAATAATAATAATGTTGGATGGCTGAACCAGACAGAATCAATGTCCGAATCCCTCTTCTACTGCAGGCATCACATGAGGTCCACCATAGCTATGGCCACCCTTCTTCCTCCTTCTTCCACGGCGACGGCTATGGTGGACTACCAGGGCACTGCCCTGCTGTGCAAAGGACAACACAAAGCAGCTATGGCGGCTCAGAGTCTAGCTCAGGCCGCCATGCCTGACTCTGCCTCGAAGCTTCTTGGTGTAGCTCTACCCCAACGGGGGCCTTCCAGATGCAGCCCCCACCAAGGTGATGAAGATGGTATCCACCATAGCCAGGCAAGTACCTCCGGCGCTCCTCCCTCCTAATCCTGGTCTTCTTCCTCCTTCTGTCCTTGCTCCTCCCCAGCAGCGCTGCTCTTGATGCTTAGCGCTGCTCCAGCCAGCGCTCCAACCAGTGTGTCACCAAACTTGCACACCGACAATGAGAAGGAGCACCTCGCTCCTCCCGGAGATATAGCGGCATGCTTGCCTCTTGGCGAGTGACTTCCTGGGACACGCGGCCTCCAAGCAACCGGTACCTCCTCCCTTTCGGAGGGAAACATCATTGCAGACTCTGATATTGCCCGTACAGGCCCTAGACTCAGACTGGTTGGACTGGTACCCGCCTAGACCTAGCCTACAACTACTGGGCCTCTAAAAATGCCAACTTCGTCTTCTTCTGCTCGGCCTCGAGTACCCGGCACATCTACCTCTGCCTGGTGTGGTACCGGCCTACCTGCTACTTCAGTGTTTTTCCGTTGCTTCAAGTGTCACGGGCCTCCTTCCCCGCCACTCGAGTGTTTTCCCCCACTGCAACCCTCAACGCCACGGCCACAGGTAAGTACCGGCCCTTTGGGCCGTTCACGCGGACAAGTACCCTTGTGCGTCTCACACACACTCAAACCGACAAGCACTCAGACAGGCACGGAGACCAGCAAGCACGCACACACTCAGCCTTAGAAGACTCAGCAACAAGCGGGTAACTCAGCAAGGCATGTGTTCCATTGGCAAGACTCAGAAATCAGCTGTGTGTCTCAGTCCGCAATTGGCAGGTCCTAACATAATAATTTATTAATTTGCAGATACATTCAAGAGGGAACTGCTCAGCTTTATGGTAAGTCGGGAGTTCAAAACCATTGTTGAGATACGCAGTCCAAAACAAAGCCACCTATCATAATTCACCAAACACCGCAGACTGTGTATCATGCAATGAACCCTGTCTGGCAGATACTCAGAAGTCGTCAAACATCAATAGTCTCATTATCTGCATCAAAATCTCCAAATCGTGAAGTGCTATCTCAAACAGTAACTCGTTACCATCACAAGAAGAGAGTGGAGGGGGAACAGACAAAGGAGAAGATGAAAGATCACACAATAATCCCTTCAGATCCCTCTTCGTCTCCGGGCTTCTTCCCTCTCCACATCAACAATGATAATAAGTATATTCTTGATCACACACAGTAGTGCCACGTGGCACTTTAACTCGTGAAGACCATGAAGACATAGCAGATTCGTGTGTCGACGTCATCCTCAGGTGAGTACCCGATCTCCATCCGCAGATCCCGATCTTCCTCCTTCACGCAATCAGTCACCTCATGTAGTCAGCGTGGACAGTGCCACGTCAGAAATCGCGATAGGTGGCATATGCCACATCATCAATGAAACACCACATCAGCATGCAATGTAGACCAGAGGTAGCACCACATCAGCATGCAATGTAGACCAGAGGTAGCACCACATCAGCATGCAATGTAGACCATAGGCAGCGCCACGTCAGTATGCAATGTAAACCATAGGCTGCGCCACATCGGCATGCAATGTAGACTAGAGGTAGCGCCACATCAGCATGCCACCTCAGCAAGGCTGGCGCAAATGCAGAAGCGCCAGCATGCTGCCTCCACCTCATGCAGTCGTCTGCAACGCCTATGCCCAGCCAGTGTGTAGCTAGCGCCGCGCTAGCATAATGCCAGCGTCTAGTCAAAGTCGAGCCAGCGTCAAAGCAGCATAGCAAGACTGAATGCTTTACTCACTCGAGGCCAGCCTTAAGTAGCAGTTGTCGAGGCTGTCTGGCCTCGGTGCTTTTCCCCACAGTCGTCCAGATTGACTCACAGCTGAAGGCCCAGATTGTACAGTTGCGGACTTCTCCCTTGGACCTGATGTTGTCTGGGTACCTGCATACAAACAAGTGTCTGTGCTTGACGAGCGGCCTGGGCTAGGTACCTTTGGACTTTGACTGTTGGGTGGACCGACAGTTGACTAAAGTCAACTGCCACATGCCCAGGCCCTGAATTCGTGTGGGGTCTTTTTTCCCTGTTTCGACCTGGGCTGAGGGCGGCCAAGTAGGCCCTTGGATGACCCTCAGATTCCACGAGACATATGGCATGGGTTATTGCAATCAGGTCATCAATCACAAACCCTTGTCAGGTTAACCTAATGATCATTTGCAGATACGTTCCAGAGGGAATTGCTCAGATTTATGAGAAGTCAGGAGTTCAAAACCCTTGTTGATAAGCAACACTGTCACAGGGTTACCCACATAAAAGTTAAAAGAAGGTAGAACACTTCGATTGCTACCGGTAGTAGCTTTCCTGGCCGAGATTCCGAGCTGGCCCCTGGCTAGGTAGGATGCACCTGATCAACTTGCCGGTGGATACGAACCGGATGGATGCTGCCTGGAACGAACAAGGAGCCAGGACCAACTATCCTACATTCTTCTCTCATATACCTCCCACTAGCTAACCTCTTGTCTACATCCAGTTCCAGCGTTCCTTCTCGTAGTATGCCAAATCTATGCACCGAAGCTGGAGTGCGGCAAGAGTTATGGGTTGGCACCGGCCTCCTCCTGTGCCCAAGCACCGGTGCATTCCTAACCTCTGGCTAGGGTTGGCCGGGTCAAGTGGACCCCTGCCGAGACCAACCAGGGGGGGCAAGCTGTCTTTCTCAGCTGGTGAACCCAGAGCGTGCCTCAGGGGGCCGTGGGGAATCGAATGGACAACGCAGGGTATTGAACCCACGACCTCCTGAATGCCACTCCTGTGCTCTACCAACTGAGCTAGGCCGCCAGCCCATAAGGACCTAATTTAATAAAAGAAAACGAAAAAAACAAAAAAAAACAAAAAAGATAGAATGTGCCTGAATGCACCAGTATATATAGATGATAGATCAGGCACCTTGCTATCCACACATCCAGACAGGGGCAATGTTGGAATTTCAGCTACCGTAGGTGGAAAATTGGCAATTGTGCCCTTGTTCACTGGGATAAGAAAGGACAAGCCACTGGCAATTTCACAAGACCACTGCAAATGAGACACTCTTTTTCTTTCTTTTAAAGGGATTTCAATAAAATTGAACATATCCATTTTGATTAATATTTGCCAAAATCACTAACGAGGAATCCAGACCTGGAAGGAGATCCCACTAGCCATGTATGTGGATTAGTGTGACGGGTGTGGGACGGGTGGGGGACAGGTGGGTGGCAGCGTGAAATAGGGAAAATAAACGCAAAAAAACATTTCATGACCAAACAAATGAAGAAAAAACTGCGAAAAAAGAAAAGAAAGTGCTCTTCTCACAGATGGTGTCTGCTCCAGGCAGGGTGTCAGATGTCAGGGTATGATTCACTGACCACGGCCGTGGCAGTCAAGACGACTGCATGTGAGTGGGCACACAGACCATATTCATTGAGAATACTCTGAGGCTTCCTTGAAATAGGCCGCAGTGCACGCTGGTCGGTTGTTCTGACAGAAATTCTCTTTGGCAAAGGAGGGCAAGAATAACTCCATACACCATTTGCTGTAGGTGAGGGGATCGAACCCTCCCAAACACCTCCCAAACCACAATCAATTTCCAGCGATGAAGCCATTCGTCTTTGCCTTCGCCGTGAGTGAAACGTGTGTGATTTCACGAACCAAAAAACTTGGTTGTGATTTCACGCACGTTTGGGACAGCCACAGGACCCCAACATCAAAAACAAAAGAAAAACCTACCAATGGGAGAGCAAAAGAAAACATCCTTTTCCCGGCCTTAATTCACAAAAACAGGCTACTGAAACGGTATTCACCAATTCGTGGTAGCTGAGGCAGATCCCAGGGCTTGATCCCTAGTTCCCCAACTTACCTGTGTATAATATCTACGTCAACTCGAAGAGTTGA